ACAGCACTGTATACATACCTGTAAAGCTCTGTAGGTAGCACAGTACTGCTGTCTTCTCATAGAAATTACTGATTTCAGGCAAGTTAAGGCCACCCCATTCTATCCACAGGAATGTTATTAAAAGAATCTAGCATTTTTACTGCTTCAGTTTAAGCCTTATTAGAATAATTTCTCTCCACCATAAGGGAATTTTTAAATGTTCCCCAGGGCAGTGCATAGCCCTTATGCCATTTATATGGTCAGTTTCGTTAACCTAGAAAATGGTCAATACTGGTTTTCATCATTCAGTTCCCATTGACTTCAATGGAGTTTGATTTTGGCACCTGAGTGTCAGTAAAGTTTTCTGAACTTGCCCTGAACTTCAGTAAAGTTAGCCAAGCCCAAGTGAGTTCAGCCCATCCACATCACAAATAAGACTGACAAATATTGCACAGATATGCTGCACATCATGTTGTTTCTAGGATGCATTTATAGAGGAAGAGACAAGGCAGGTTTTAACCTTAAATAAAAATTACAATGTACTGTAACAGAGACAGCAGACAAAAATATTGAATTTACACATTGCACATCATGTTAGCCTTTTTATAAGATAAGGCACTTTTAGAGGGAGAGGCTAGGACGTTTTTAACCTGAATAAAAAATTACAGCATATGTCAGAGACAAGAGCCAGATGTGATGCACATCTTTTCAACAGGCCAAATTTAAATACTGAGAGACAAGGCAGTGTATTGTAGCCTTTCTCAAACTTTTCAACATGGGGGAACCATTCAAATAATTTTCAATAATCACTATATCTACAGCTCACATTTCAGTACTGTGATGGTCACTGGGAAGAGACCATTTAAGGTAATTGGGAAGAATTCCCCCCTTACAGATAGCTAAAAAGATCATTGTTGTCAGTGGATATTCATCTAAGAGACAGAAATTTCTCATTGGTCAAGGAACCTCTATCAATCTCTGGAGATAACTTAGGGTTCCCCTAAGAAACCCTGGTTAAAAAAAGACTGCTGTTGCACCAGAAAGTTTTTGGATGTTGTTTACTGAATACTCAAAATGCCTCCCATTAGTGTGCTACAGTAAAAAAGCAGACTCTTTGACACTGGAAAGGTTTCTAGCTGTTGTTTCAGGGTCCAGGTCTGAATATGGGGAATCTGCAGTGTCTGGCTATAGCGCTTCTCATTGTGTGACTCTATATGCTGGGCAGCTTCCTGCTTGATCCTTTGGAAAGTCTTGCCTTGTATCCTATTTCTGGTGAACCTTGAACGTTTTGCTCCTCTCATGAACTTCCTGATTTAAGCCATATCTTTGCACTTCCTGTTTGCCAGATTATTGTGCTCTCTCTAGCTGACATCTTGCATACATGCAGCTGTTCTTATTTTGACTACCATTTGTTGCAACCCCTGCTTGCTCTTCAACTACAATTCTGCTTAATCTAACCTGCAACCAATTGCTACTGACATTTGGCTTGTTTACTGACTATGCTTCTGCTTGATCCCTACCTGCTACATATATTATTGGACCCCAGCTTGCTCACCTCCTGGTGGGCACTAGCATGCAGTGAAACCCATCTCCACCATCAGGATCTCTGGTGAAGACTGATTAGTGCTTAGACCCTGCGTCTCAGGTGAGTATGCGTCATCTGTCAGGGTAACCTGCTTGTATACTTGTCCTGCTGGTTAGTGTAAACCTCTCTGCTGCTATAGCTACTGGTCTCTGAGCATGACCTCTGACCATGACACATTGTTTGTAACAAGAACCACATTTGCTCTCTTCTCCCCAGTCTAGGACACATGAAATGGCAGCCACTGAATATTAATAGAGCCTTTTATGCAGATGGAGTGCTCATGCACTCATACCAGCAGATTAGCTACTGCAGGAGGCAAAAACATGGTTTTCTGGGTTAGAGAGAATGGCAGGAATTTCACATCAAAATGTATACATGGCAAAAAATGGAGCAAATATTGATGCTATGGGTAATGATAGCCCAATTTGCCAAAAACTCCTACTTGTTCAGATTATACATAGTTTAGACCACCAACACAAGAAAAAAAAAAAATGTTCCTGCAAATGTTAATGCACAGTTGCTATTCATTTGCCGAATTTAACAAAAATATGAAAAAATAAATCATAAAAAAAGGTTTCTGCAAAACTTAAATTGTCAAGAGTCCCCCTACCTCCTGTAAAACCATAATGGCTTGATAACCGTCTATTATACTGGTTATCCAAAACAGAACTCACAGGAGGGGACAGGTCAACTTTCAACACAAGCATGAATTGTCATGATTTGCATGTTGGAGCAGCTCAGAATTTGAGGCACCCAGGGCTAGTGCCATCTAAAACAATCCAGCAGTTAAGCTAGGTAGACCTTAGGTATAAATAGGCCACTGTCTCCAGGATCTGTAGGCACACTCACTGTGTACCCATTTTTTTTTTGTTTCATTCTTCAGGGCATGTGGGCTGGTATTGTTCAGGATTGGGGGTGCCACATTCTCCCTGTCTCCCCTTTTCTGACCAGCTAGTCTGCATGCCTGGATAAGGGTCTTTTATGGATTTTGAGGGAGATCCCATGCATAAAATAATAAAAAAAAGAAAACGGTCTCCTTTAAGATCCAGCATAAAGCCTAGCTGTCCAAGAAACAGATAGGCAGTGAATGTGTGGCTACCCCTGAAGTATACCAGGCCAAATGTTCTTAACATTGGGATGGTTCCCTCCTGGCAAGGCACCTTCTCTCCATGGTAATTGGAATAATAGCTTCATTCCCACATCCCTGGCCTGGTGGATATGGGGGTCTCTGGGGGGCTGATATATTGTAATAGGAAAACATATATAAAATAGGGGAGTCAAGATATCTGGCTCTTCTCTCTAAGTGAAAGAGTACAGGGTACTCCTTCACTAAAAAAAGTATGAAGGAAATAACACCAACACTGTAGACAGTCCTTTACCAAAAAAAACCCCCTCAAAACAACAACAATGTAAATCCAACATCAATTACATTGTCCAGATGTAGACCGTGACAACACAACATCCTGTACCATGATGTTTCTTTCCCATCACAGCTTTCATCACAAATTACAGCTTCCTTGCTAGCTGTTGAATGTCAAACTGGCCAGGGATGCTGGCTGATGTCATTGATCATATATGGTTATGTCCATATTTGGTTGTTAATGTCACCCAGGATACCCAAAGGCTTGTTTTCAATTTTAAATAAACAGGCAGGCAGCTGAAAGCTGTCATTTAGTGGCAGCCAGAGGTTCGGACGGTGAGCTGGCCAAATCTTTGCTCCGTTAGATGTTTTGTAGGACAGGGCAGACATTGAGGTCTATTAGACCCCAACGTCTCTATAAAGAGTACCTGTCAGCTACCAAATGCTATCACATGGGATATTGTTAACCCCTTGTGATAGCAATAAAGTCAAATTTAAAAAAATAAATAAAACAGTTTCAAAAATAAAATTGTAATACCACTTATTAAAAACAAAAAATAAAATAAAAAAATAACACCCATTGCCAGTCACACACTCACAAATGGAAACACAGCCCATGGTGCACACTTGTATGTAAACCACGATCAAACCACACATGTGATTTTAAAATTGTCACCTATGGGGATTCTTAGGTACAGTAGTTCTTTGAAATATCATGGGTGCACACAATTTTTAAAGCTTGTTTGGTATCTATTTACTCAATGCAACCCCATCTTTTATATTTTACCAAAAATTGGGTATTGCATTTTGTGAGTTTGCACTAAAATTAATTTTGTTATATTTTTTCCTGAAAATTTGCATTTGATAAACAGTTGCACAAATATTTTGCAACATATAAAATTGTAACTATCATCTTTTTTATTCTACAGGGCATCTGCTCTCAGACAATATACAACGTATAATGTTCTGAGAATCTAAGTCATTTTATGGCCAAACATTCTGATTTTTTACATGTGGACAAAAAAAAAAAATAATGATCTAGTGCCAAATTAGTTAAATTTATTTTTGTGACTTCAATTTGGCTATAATCCTCAGTTCAGCCCTAGCCTAGCTTTGTCACCAAAACACTTATATTTCACTAATACAGTTAATGACAGAAATAAATGACACTTTACAAATGTGCTCATACATAGCACTAGTTGATTAAAATGGCATGACCTACAGAAAATATCCAACATTCTGGAAAATTAAATCTACTAACACTAATAATTTTTGCTGCTTAATTGCCCATATATCGACTTTGTTACATGGTAAATGAAAGTAATGCTTGACTCTGCAAACCAATAAAAGTCAGGTATTGCATCGGCAGCATAACAGGTCACTGGATAATGAATTTTCATTTTTTTAGCAGTTTTTTGTGCAGGTGGGAATTTGCTTCTAAACCAGGTGCATGTTATGTGTTTTAGCATAAACGGAACAATAATTTTAACTGTTTTGTGCTATTTCAAAACAAAATATCTACTTGAGTCTTTAAGTTGAAAGCACAGCACATTTCATGTCAAAGTTCTGTGAATGCCATCTGTCAATATTTTTGCAACCATAATGGAAGTTGAATTATAAAGCAGATCACTGTCCTTTCTGTATTCTCATTGTGAATTACCTTGGATTGTCATTGACATTGCTGTATGATAAATTAACATGCCAGTTACTTATAAAAAATAAAAATATGAATTTAAAATTTTGAAATGACTGAAGTTGTATAATCCAGTTGCATATTTTACACTGTAAGCTATTTATGAATCTTGTTTTTTATTAGAAGTGGAATATTTCTGTCGTTTTCAATAGATATTGAATGCTATATTGTGGATGATTGAAACTCAGCGCTGTGTTACAATGCTGCAACACTACAATATGGTTTGAAAGCATGTGTCAAAAAATTCCTGAACTCTATCAAAACAAAACTTTGTGCTGTAGTGGGAACTTAAACCCACCTCCCGCCCGCCATATAGTAATATGATGGACGCAAGGTGGTTCTCTTGTTCTGGGAGGGCGTCATATGAAGTCCTCCCATTCTAACCGTGCTCCCAGAGTGTGCAGTGTGGCGATCGGCGGTGTGCTGTGTCCCTCGGACACAGCGGATCACCGATCCATGGAAAGAGCCGAAGATGTCGGCTCGGTCATGTGATCAGCTGTGTCCAATCAAAGCTGATCACATGTAAACACGGAAATGTCAGTTATCGGTGTTTCTTTCCCCACGAGCTGTGACGCTGACATCTCGTGAGGAGAGGAGAGCCGGTAATCAGCATTCCTCGGAGGGGACATGTACACAGATCATCAGAGCACTGATGATCAGTGTGCCCTGATGATCTGTGTAGCCCCAGCAGCGCCACCTGTCAGTGTCCATCAGTGCCAGCTCTCAGTGCTCAACCATGCCACCTGCCAGTGCCCATCAGTGCCATATCATTGCCACATTTCAGTGCCCATCATTGCCACATCAATGCCACATATCAGGGCCCATCAGTGCTGCCAATAAGTGCCGCCTAACAGTGCCAGTCAGTGCCCCCTATCAGTGCCAGTCAGTGCCACCTATCAGTGTGCATCAGTGCCGCCTATCAGTGCCTGTCAGTGCTGCCTATCAGTGCCGCCTAACAGTGCCACCTAACAGTGCCATATATGAGTGCTGCCTTTCAGTGCCCATCAGTGATGCCTGTCAATGCCCATCAGTGCCACCTACCAGTGCCTCCTCATCAGTGCCCATCAGTGCCACCTATCAGTGTCCATCAGTGCAGCCTATCAGTGCCCATCACTGCAGCCTCATTAGTGCACATCAGTGAAGGAGAAAAATCACTTATTTACAAAATTTTATAACAACAACTAAGAAAACACTTTTTTTTCAAACTTTTCAGTGGTTTTTGGTTTGTTTAAGAAAAAATAAAATTCCCAGAGGTGATTAAATACCACCAAAATAAAGCTTTATCTGTCACAAAAAAATGATAAAAATTTCATATGGGTACAGTGTTGCATGACGAAGCAATTGTCATTCAAAGTGCAACAGCGCTGAAAGCTGGAAATTGCCCTGGGCAGGAAGGGGGTATAAGTGCCCTGTAGGCTAGTGGTTAAACATACCTTCAACATTTTTGGTTTGGAAGCATTAGTTCAAATAATATAGCTCCCTCAAGTACAGACAGTTCTGTGAATAAGAAAACTAAGGTGTTCTTTTGTCCAGGACTCAATGGCCAGTTCACCCAATAAATATTTGTAGCACCCTCTAGTGTGCTACTAGAATAGTGTAGTGAATTATAGCTAAAATCATTGTGTATGACTCATGGTAATTTTGTGAGTCTGTGATTGAGGTTGGGTTATTGCAGGTCAGCTGGATGACTCAACAGGTAGTGGCTCTATCACCGCCTCCTTACTCTGGGGGACCATAGAACCTTCCAGAAGTCGGTAAGCAGGAAGGGGTGAAGGACTAATCTGCATATTCATGGAGATCCAGCCAATCCCAGGTTTGGAGACCCTGGTTGAGTGGTGGACTGGCCCAGAAATATAGGAAAGTCAGGCTGACAGAGGTGTCTGGTGGAAGCTGGAGTGCTGAGGAGACTGTTGGTGCCTGGGAGAGGTCCCCAAGGTCTGGGGGGCTGGCCTCCAGGCTGAGCTTGGGCTGGCTCAGGAGGATACATTCAGCAGTGAGGCATGAATGGGATAGAGACCTGGAGCATCAGAGAGCATGAGGACAGAGTGAGTACAGCAGCACTCTCTGGGATCTGCAAGGGGAAAGACTGCCACATGTAGCAAGCTTTCTAATGACAGCGCTGGGCTAAATCTTATTCTTGTCCCGGGAGATCTTCTGAGAAGCTAAGAGGGCTGGTAGAGTTCGCAGACTGTGAAACTGGGAGCAGCTCTACAGGGGCAGAGGAGACATCACTGCATGTGTCTACGAGAAGCTAAGTTGTTTTTTGAGGAGCTGGTGGTTGCTTGCCCATAAAGGGCAGCTTCTACTGATCCGCAACAACTGACGGCTTTCAGGAAAATAACAGTCCAGGATCTGCCTTTGTACATAGAAAGGAAGTGTCCCCCTTCCATTGATTCAAGCCAAACTGGGTATCCCATTATTCGTATTTTCCTATCCAAGTAAATTTCCCCTAATAAAACATCAAAACCAAGCCCATGGACTGGTCATTGCCTTTTGGATGCAAGTCTGTGTGAGAAATACCTGTTTCCTGGCTGTGCGAGGAGAGGCTTAGCGGTACCCAATACACAATGGCCCACATAAGGGTAGCGCTACATATTTAATGGGCATTCACCCAAGAGTATTTTAACAGGATTCACCCATCAGTTTCTGCATGCATTTTCTCTACTTAAAAGTTACTTTATGTTGGACAAATGTTGGTAAATATCAGAGAAAGGGCAACTTGATTGTCACAAGTTAGCCTGCAGTTTCTTGTTTGTGTATTCTTACCTCCTTGCTGCAGTGTTATTCCTGATCCCTTTCACATGTGTGTTTGTCTGTGCTCACCTATGGGCGTTGTCTGCTGTTCTCTTGGTTTTATTTCCTTCCCCTCCATCACTTCCTGGCCCACTTCCTTGTTTGCCTGCCTATATAAGACATGCTCAGTCTAGGCCACTTTGCCTGAGCAACGTCCTAGTTGTCTGAGCTCCTCTGTGTTGCTATTGCCTGTATCTTGCATTGACTACTCGTGTACCGACCCCGACTTCGTTCTCTGACTGTGCTTGTTTTTCGTCTGTCCTGACCTTGGCTAGTCTATTGGATTTCTGTTTGTTTCCTCCCATTGTTCTGCGAGCTGTCTCCTCATCCTCAGCTGGGTGTACCCAGCGGCTGCGACCTGGTCACAGCTTGCTGAAAGTCCATCCCCATCATCAGGGGCTCTGGTGATGAAGCAGGCTGGGGCTTAGACTCCGCACCCTGGGATCCCCAAGTGACTATCTACAAGGGCTCACTACCACAGGTGCTGACTGTGATCTTTTGTGGGCCAGGAGGAGAAGTAGAAATCTTTTTTAATCTGTCACCTTTCAGGACACAAACCAGAGCTGTTCCCTAGATGGACTAACTCTAATGTATCCTCACTTCCAATTAGAATTAATGACAATACCATGTCCATCCTTACCACTCTTTGTCTCACATGCATGCAAAAGAGCTTTAGACTTATTAACGTTATGCCAAAAATTCTAATCAAAATGTTTGTGTCCAACCTTTACCCTATACTTGTCATGTTCAGGTACCTTTGGAGGAAGTGCTATTGGACCAGTCCTGGTACTGCTCAACCTTCTAGCCCCTCTCAGCCCAGACCCTGTATCCTTAGCCATTGCTTCAATAGACCCTGACTCCCCAGTCCCTGTTACAATCAATGGGCTTTTTTGTTCTCCGGATGGAAAGATGAAGGTCTCTCCTTCATCTACTTCTGGTGGCCCCTCTCCATGACTATATAGTGATGACCATCTACTGTGGCTGTTTCTGAAAGTCTCAAAACAGTTGAGGCTCACACAGCAGACATAAGGCCTCCAACATTAGTGCCACAACTATGTTCCATAGAAGAGGTCAGAGAATTAAGCAGTATTTTCTCTTCCTTGGTCAGAAGCTGCTTTGCATCCAATAGGTATGGCAACGATGTGGGAGAACCTTTTCAATATTGTTCCTGAGGAAAGGTGGTAGTGGTGAGTACAATCAGGGCCCCACAGCTAGCCCAGAGTGGATATAAATGGAGGTTATGAGCACCCTGAGAAGCTGGTTCAGCAGGTCAGGTTTGAGCAAATTACCATTAGACAAAATACCAAAAGGAAAAAAATCTCATTTTTTTAGCCACTTATTCTCAGATGACAAAAAATGGAGAAAAGACTACTTATACTTCAAAGCTGCCTGCAAGACCTCAAAATGCAATCTAGGCTGACTCATACTATCATAAGCATGCAGACATAGGCTGGAATGTGCCACTGCTGACAACCAATAAAAAATGCTTCCTCACTAACCTCTGCCGAGATAAGACACAAAATGAATGTAGCATCAATTGGGAGCAAAAAAAGTTATCCATATTTGCAAGACCCCAAAACCCAGCCACAAAAACTTACCAAACCTGAAAGATATCTCTGTATGTGTAGATCAATGTCACCCTAAGGTCACCTTGTAGCTAAAACAAGAAAATGAATATACAAGCAACCTTTGAAAGAAGGATATTACTACTTCAAGCAGCAGAAACTCCAAGTTTTGCTCTCTTGCAGAGCTACAGCTGCTATTGGTATCTGATGCTCCAGGAGTTGTTGGATACTCTGCTTTCCATTGTGTCTGTGGGTCCTCCCACCAGCTGTGCTTACAGTACAAAATAGGAATATAGTTGTTGGGAGGTGGAACCACAGCATGCAATGGTGAACCAGTACCCTCCAGGAGTGTTGATATCAGTCATAGCTTTTCAAAAGAGAAAATATGTAAGTGGAGGCTGCTGGCTTGGGTGGATTGCTGCTAGCAGACCTTTTCTTGTACAGTGGTTAGGGTCACTTTAAGGAAACCAAACTAATGCAAACTGCACTGGTGAAAGAGTAGATTCACTTTGAAAACAGCCAATTTGAATAAAAGTATGCAAAATAACATTAACAATATGGTCCTGAATGGACAGTTGGATAATGACATGTGCATTTTAATTTAATTTCCTTCAATAGGAGATCAATAGTGATCAATAGGATGAATGGTACTATATTAAAGAACAGTTCTGGACAAATATCATGGAATGGTATTTTTGGCCATTGAAAGCTGAGTGAATGTCTGAAGGAAGCCCAAATCCACTGGTATCAATAGAATGAAAGTCCTTTATCGAATCTTGAATGAATTTGGCTAAATATTGGGGAAATATCAGGATAATTTCCAAGTGAATACTTGATAAATAGTTCACTAAGTTTTACTATTCTGTCCCTTTCCTTTACCGCTCTATCATACTATCCTCTGGGAGTCATTAATCCATCTCCTGACTTCCTTAGTACAGTTGCATAGCTGTAAAACAATGAATAGACAGGTGCTTACTCAATATGACTCCAACAATAAGCATCAAAAAAACAAAAAACATATGAAGCCAATAAATGTGTATCAATAAAGTGCATTTCCGAACACCACATCAAGTAGTGAGAGTCCTATAAAATGGTGTCACATTACTCCAGAATGGTAGATAGGTGAGAGTCCTATAAAATGGTGTCACATTAGTCCAGATAGGTCTTCTTCACCACTTGTGAGTAATACTCAAATTCCCCACTCACCAAAAGGTGTTGATCTCCAATATGGATGGTCAGATAATGCTTGGATTCCCAATTTTAGTCTCTCATATGTTGGGTCTCCAGGCTCCCCTTCTCTCAATAGTGGCTCTCAGAAGAACTCAAAATAAAGAGAGAATATCCATAAAATATGTTCTAAATGTAGTGTTTATTACGGATCATGGTTCCAGATAAAATAAGTAAAAAATACTCACATTGGGTGGTGCCTGAACTCCGGCACCAGTTTGTACAGCCAATGTAGAGATATCATGACTCTCTTGGGATCGCCGATGTGCATTCCAAGCCTCGTGTTGATGGGCCAGGCGTAACGTCATGCAGGACCCAGAAGTGACAGAATCACGCTTCTATGTATGTTTAACCTCTTCCT